GGGGGGGGGGGGGGGGGGGGGGGGGGGGTCCGGTGTTGGGAGAGGGGGGGGGCGGGGCCAGAGCCGTGGGCGGAGTGGGGGTGGGGCTAGAGCTGGGGGAAGGGCGGGGCTGAGCCTGGGGCGAGAGCCGGGCAACGGGAGGGGGCAGGGCCATGGCTAGGGGCGGGGCCGGGCAGTGGGGAGGAGGGCGGTGCCGGGCGTGGGTCCCCACCAGAAGATGGGGCTCTGGCCCGGCTCGCGGACCACGTAGTAGTCTTTGTCCAGGGGCAGCAGCTTGGCTAGGCCAAAGTCGGCGATCTTGACATGCGCCTCATTCTCCACGAGGATGTTCCGGGCGGCCAGGTCGCGGTGCACGCAGCGGCGGGAGCCCAGGTACTCCATGCCCTGTGGATGGGCGGGGTGGGCATGTAGGAAGACCCTAGGCCGGGACCCCAACCCTGACCTGGAATGCAACCCCAACCCCAACCCAGACCCCAAGCCTAACCCTACCCCCCGACCCATCCTCCCCTGTAGTTCTGACTCTGAACGCTAACGTTATCAACCCCACCCCCAACTCCACCTGGACCCCAAACTTCACCGCTCAGTCTTCACCTCGACCTCCACGCAGACCCCCGCCCACGCCGAGCCAACTGAACCCCGGGGCGCCCACTCTCTCTCGACCGCCCCGCACCTTGCAAATCTGAGAGGCGTAAAGCAGGAGGCGGCTGGCGTCGAGGCGCGCGCGATGCCGCTGCAGGAAGTCGCGCAGGCACCCGCTGGGCAGGTACTCCATGACAAGCCGCAGGCTCTGACGGCCTGGGGGAGGTGGGCGGTATCACCGAGGAGGCCGGTCCTGACTACTACTCCGATTCTTCCCCCCACCCCTGCACAGTGAGACCTTGTGTCCCTCCCGGCCTCAGTACTGCTGTCTGTAAAATGGGAGCGGTGACAGTGACACTCGCTAATATCTCTTGAGCATCTTCTACAATGCACCTTCTACCCTGATTCGTTTAAACAGTGACCCATTTTTCAGCTGGTGAAACTGAAGCTCAGAGAGGCCAAATCACACGCTCAAGTTTGCCCAGCTGATAAAGGGTAGAGTCAGGATTGGCACTCATGATCAGTCTGAACGTGGATAAACACGATTGTTAATAACAGCACCCCTGGTGGTGGCGTTCCCAGCCCATCTAAAACGGCACTGCAAGAGGATGAGGACGTGCAATCAAAAAGCACTCCTTCACCCATCCCAGAGGTGGCTCACCCGGGCCGTAGCTGACACCGCGGTACTTGACGATAAAGTCACTGTGCAGCGCTTTGAGGATCTGGATTTCCCTCTGGAAGTCTCTCTGCTGGTCTGGCCCGCTGTGCTGCAGCTGCTTCACGGCCACCAGAGCGCCTGTGTTGTCGCCCAGTGGGTCATACCGGCACAGCTCCACACTGCCAAAGTTGCCCTGGGGGATGGCAGGGCTGGGCTGGTGTCCAGGTGCCTGGATGCTGCCCTGCCCCCTCCAGCCCAGCCCACCTCACCTTGCCCAGCTGCGAGATGTACTTGAGGTGTCTCTCCTCGAAGATCGTGGGGTCCTGGCAGGCATAGAGCTGTGCGCCATTCCACAGGCCGTCACGGGGTGCCAGGGCACCCGGCGAGGGGTCGGAAAGGAGCTCATAATCTGGGGGACACGGGCAGTAGTGAGTAGCACATCTCATCCTGGACCCAACTCCTGAGCTGATTTTCTGTGTAACCTTGGTCTGCACACTTACCCTCTCTGTGCATTATGGCAGGGCCACTGCAAGCCAAAGGGTACCTTGTGGGAACTGGAAAAAGGCAGCCTCCTTGTGCAGTGCACACCCTGTGCAATGTCACATGGCTTCGGAGAACCCATTTCCCAGGTTCCACTGCTATGAGGTGTGGTCACATAACTGACCTTGGGCTGATGGGCAAGACATTCTGGGAGCCCCCTAGTCCTGGTTCATGGAAACCTAGCAAGGGAACCTCCACACTCTCTCTCTCTTGTTTGCAAAGGATCCAACAGGGACCCAAGGCCATGGGTAGGGGGAGCCACAAAGTGAGAGATGCCTGTGGACCTGAACACCCTCATTGAATGTGAACTAAATATCATCATGTTGAATCTTGAGCCAAGAGGTCTGTTTCTTACAGCAGCTGTCACAGCTCACACTGACTATTACAGTCACCAACCACTCCAACTCTCCAGGCATGCAGGGCAGGCTCTGCGTGCAAACCCCGAACTCCTCCCACTGGGCCCAAACGACATGCTGGCCCTGCCCACCCTGCCTGGCCGGTGGGCACCTGACGTGATGAGGCTGTTGAGGTCCCGGATGACAGCTCGGAAGGATGGCCTCTGGCCCGGCTCATAGGCCATGCACTGTTGGATCAGCAAGGCCAGCTCTGTCCACTTGGGGGCTGGCAGCTGCTGCCGTTTCTCGTAAAACTGGAGTTTCTGAGGGCAGGAAGAGGGGCTGGTCACCCCCAGCCCACCAGACCCGCCCAACCTCCCCCAGCTGGACTTCAGTCCATGCTTCCGTCACATGGGAGCTCTCAAGACCAATGCCAGGCAGGGGCTCTGACCTTGGCGGGATCCAGGGTGCTGATGGGCATGGTGACTCCGCTGAACACCTCCCAGACCGTGGCACCAAAGCCCCACTTGTCAGCTTCCAAGCCAAGCATCTGGGCCTCCTGAAGACACTCAGGGGCCACCCAGGGGATCCTGTCGGTGAGCACTGAGCGGGGAGGAATGGGGTCAGGATCCACTTTCTTGTCTTGTTAGACCCCTCCCTCCTCCACCCCTGGGCACTTACTCTCCAAGCTCAGCACAGTAGGGCTGACCCCAGGGTCACTCAGCTTGATAAAGGGTGGGCTCCCATCAGCCCCCTCCCGAGCCAGGAGCACCTTCCGAGCTGAGACATTGCCATGGGGGAGGCCTTTGTCCTCCTAAGTGGGCCAGGCATAGGGAGATGCCAGGGAGGGTTTGATGAATGAACAGTCCATTTGGCAAACTCCTATACATCCTTCAGAGCCCACCTGTGCTGCTCAAACCTGTTCCAGCATCCTCCCCAGGCTCCTGGCATCCTGTCTTACCCCCTCTACTCCATCCCCTATGCTGTGTCTCTCCCCTTCTCAAACACTGTCTCCTACCCTGGGCTCCCCACTGCCTTCCAGAAAAAGTCAAAGCTCCTCAGCCTGGCGTTCAAGGCCCTTGCTTGCTCTTCCCATGAGTTTTTCTTCTACACCTTCAACCCTGGTCTCCCGCCAACTAAACTGCCTGAGGGGTCCCAGGACGTGTGACCCCACGTTCTCTGCCCTGTCTGTCCTCCAGGCCGACATGCCCTCCTTCCTTTCTCCTCTTGATGAACTCCTACTCAACCTTCAAGGCCCCAAGTCCAATGCTATCTCTTTCGGAAAGCCTCCCCCTGCCAGGCCTCATCACTCGCTACTCCCCACCACCCCACCCAACACCCATGGATGCACCGTTGTTCCCTTGCAGGGCTCTCACCCTCCTCAGCCTAAAATGCCCTCCCCTCGCACACTTATCAACTCCTGCCCATGCGACAGAGCCCACCCCTAATTCCCCCTCCACCCAGAAGAAGCCTTTCCTGGAGGGTGGCGGAGGAGCACTCACCAGATAGTTGAGGGCATAGGCCAGCTGTTTGACCACCTGCAGCTTCCAGCTGGCTGGCACCAGGTGGCCACGCTTGCGCAGATATGTGTCTATTGCTCCCAGGTGTACAAATTCCTGCACCATGGTGCCTGGTGGCAGTAGGGAGGGGCAGGGTTGGTGGACAGAATTGCACTTGTGGTCAGCAGTCTCTGCCCCCAGCCCACCCCCACGGGTCTCTCAAACTGTCAGCTCTGTCCCCTTCTCCATCCTTAGACTACGTGCCCCTCCTCCCCACTCCCATCTCTGAACTATTTGCCTAATATGCTTTCTCTGTAGCTCACTTCCAAGCCTCTGCATGTTGCATCCTCTGCCTCAAACACCCCCTTTCTGGGTCAGTCTGACTTGAGATAATTCTGGGGTTGGGTACGGATGGGAGCCTGGAGCTGCTGCCCAAGGAGTGATGATCAAGGGACATGAGTACAGGATGAGGGACCCTGGTGGGCATTGGGCTCAGTGTACTGCTGGTGCTGCCATGTACAGGCTCAGTAGAGAGGTGGGAGGAGCAGCCTGGGCTTGACTGAGGCAGGGTTGGGGTGCAGGGGGTCTCTCACTGTCTCCGGCCATGCACACGCCATGGAGCAACACGAGATGCTGGTACGAAACTTGGCTCATCAAACTCGCTGCTTCCAGGAACGACTAGGGAGGGGAGAGAGAAGATGCTCTGGTTCCTCCCACCCCAGGAACAGACTGGGGATCCCACACTTGGTGCTCACTGGCCTGCCTCCAAAGGAGACCTGGCCACAAGCGTCCTTTGGCCCTGGAGTCCTCCATCAGTGCACACAGCACTCTATCTTGATTCTATGATGGGAGTGGAGGTCCCACCACCATCCACCTCGAATCTCTCACATGGAAGTGGAAGATTCCAGCTTTGAGAAGGGCTCAAGTCTTTCCCCGTGTGAAGCAGCCCCTGCCAATATCTTCACCTGCGTCACTCCCCTCTGCTCCTTTGCCTTCTCCTCTCCAGCCACTGGCCTCCTCGCTGCTCCTTAAATACACCGGCCCAGCCCTGCCTCAGGACCTTTGCACTGGCGCTTCCCTCCACCGGGGTGCCTTCCGTCTGCATCTGAATTCCCTGCTCTTTTCGTATTTTATGGTTCAGAGAGGCTGTGGCTACACTTGTGTTGTTTTAAGACCCTGTGTGTTTTGAAATTTCTCTGAGCCCACGACCCCATCTCCAGCCAGCCCTGACCCTAAAGGTCTGGCCACACCCTGCTCACCTCTGTGCAGTTTTTGTGTGTGGCGTCCATAACCTTCAGCAGCACCTCGGTCTTGCGGGCCTCTCCATCCACAGCTTCGTGGCGACAGCCCCGGTAAATCTTGGTGAAGGACCCATGGCCCAGATTCTCATGCTGGAGGGTGAGGGGACATCAGGAGAGACCAGTGAGGGGACTCCTGTGGGATCCAAGCCCCCATTCATGGCCCAAGCAGGGCGCAGGCGCTGATCCCATTTTACAGATGGGGAAACAGAGGTAAAGGAAGGTTACAGCACGTGTCTGGGGCCACAGAGCAGAGGCAGATGTAGGCCCGAGTCTCTGGACCCCAGACCGAGGTCTCCCCATCTCCTGGGGCCCCTTACCCACTCCAGGCTGTCAGCGGGGATCTTATGGAACGTCATCTGACTCAGCTGGCATTGAGACTGGGGCTGAACAGGAGATGACGTGGATGGGCTGCAACCCCTCCGGACCACAAGCAGATTGGACATTTCTATGGGAAGGGGGTGGGTGAGACAACCAGAAGTCAGAGGAGAAAAGTCCCCAAGGGTCAGCTCACTCCCTGTCTTAGTTTGAGGTACCCCAGAAGCTAGCCCTGCGATGAGGACTTCAGGGCACATGGTTTATTTGAAAGGAGACCACAGGAAGCCCCCGCGGGAATTGGGGATGTGAGCAGCAAGGGGAGGAGCCCTGCAGGGGGTGCCAGTGAGCAGGCGACACTGTAGGAAACTAGGGCTCAGCCCTACTAGGGACTCTGGAAGACTCTAGAAAGCTCACACCTCAGAGGTGTCCCATCAGAGGGATTTGCCTGACAGTGAAATTCACCCGGAAAAAGCAAGAGATGGACATAGACTAAATGCTAGTGACATCACTCAGATCTGTCTGTGTCTGAATCTAGCCATACCTGAAGGTAACACTCCGTCCTATGAGCCAATAAATCATCTTTTCTTCCCTAAATCACCTTGACCTGCAATTTCTGCCACTTGCCACCACACATAAGCCGTTCCAGACATAGAAAGTCAGGGCCCCAGATGTATCGCTTAGCTCAGGGGAGAGGGTGTGCTCACCTTTAGGTCTGGGGGTGCAGCAGGAGGTGAGGTTCAGTGTGACCCCATCTATGTGCAGCCCACCATCCCAGCAGGCTGCCAGGAGCTCTCGAAGACTACTGTGGGGCCGGCTGAGGCCAACCAGGGAGAAGCCTCCCGTGGGGTCACGCCGAATGAGGCAGCCCTTGTAATCAGGGCCAAGGGAGGTCTGCAAAGGGGAGTGGTCCTTTACTAGGAGTGGGCAGCACCTTCCCCCTAATTCCCTCTCCCTCAAGCACCAAAGCTCATTCCAGTCTCCAGGCCTTTGCATATGCTGTTCCCTACACTGGGAATGCCTTTCCCTACCCCTTTTTCAGGGAGCAAATGCTGTGTCATCTTTCAGACCTCAGGTCAAATGCCACCTCCTCCAGGAAGCCCTCCCTGCCCTCCTGCCCCTAGCAGTGGACCGACCTGGACACAGACAGTGAGAAGGAAGCTGTCGAAGTCCTGGGGGCTGCGGCGGAGAACGTAGGAGCCAGGAAGTGAGCCCCCAGTCTTAAGCTTGTCGATGGCAAAGTCCAGTCTGTGCGGAAAGGTGAGAGGGAGCAGAAGGGACAGAGTCAAAGACAGAGAAAGAGAGAGAAAGAGACGCGGGCAGAGAAACAAAGCCAGGCCTGGGTTTGAATTCTGGTCCCTATGAAGCCCTGGGACCCTCGCCATAAAACATCCCCTCCCCATTTATAAGATCCGCCAAAAGTCACAGCATCTTTCTGGGAAATTAAACAAGAGGAGGTAGGTGACCTGTCCATCTCCAGGAAATGGCACCGAGCCCCAGGTGTCAGAGGGAGGGGAACTGCTGCCCTGGGCAGCAGAAGGGAGACCCCAGCCTCATTGAACGCCGATTGTGCACCAGGCGCAGTGAGCCCCTGACCGCTGTTCAGGGCTTCTGGAAGGCGAGGACACTGAGGCCCCCAGCGTGGTTGCAGAGGCCTGGCACAGGGGGCGGGTGCTTACGTGATGGGGCCATGGCACTGCTCGGCCACCTCCTCCAGCAGCCGCGGCGGCGCCACCTCCTTGCAAAAGTAGTGCTGAGAGTCGGTGGTCAGCCGGAAGTAGCCGTCCACGAGCGCCACGAAGGACAGCGCTTCGGGCAGCCCAGGGAACTCGGCCTCCTGCGTGAAACCCGCATCAGAGCTCACTGCGGCCCGAGGGCGCGGGTCGCGTGTCCCTGCCCTCGAGGTAAAGCAGAAGGGGAAGGGGTCCTGCACCCACCAGGATCTGGTTGTCTGTCCTGGTGACAGTGACCAGCCGGTGCTCCCCAGCCGGGCCAACGCGCGGGGCCTGCTTGATGCTGATGTCCACGATTTCTGGAAAGTCGCAGAAGGGCTGGAGGATCTGGGAAAGAGGGGGAGGGCTGAGGCTGGGAGTCCTCTCCCTTCCGAGCCCCTAATCCTTCTTGGAAGCCAGGACCCCACCAACCCAAGCTCATGAGCCCCGCCCCTCCAGGCCCCTCCCACCTCCACCCTACCAACCCCCGCCCCCTCCATCAACTCCGCCCCTCTGTCTCTCCCCTGCCCATCCCCAAACATCTCCCACTCCACCCCTGACAAGCCCCGCCCCCTCTCTGTCCTGCCTCCTTCCTCAATCTTCAGCCCCGCCCACTCCCGCTGTCTCCGCCCTTATTAAACCCCGCCCCTGCATTGGTCCCGCCTCCTGCACTGGCCCCGCCCAGCGCCCTCCCGCACCTCCTGTCCTCCCGGGCTCCAGGCGATTCCGCTGTCACCAGCCACGCGGAGCAACCCCGGCCGGTCCTGGCCACCAGCAGCCCCTGGCAGGCCTACGCGGAAGGTCTCAGCGGCCCCAGCCGGATCCAGCCGCTCCAGGTCCATGATGTACTTGGCCATGAGCGAGTGCCGGTCGGCCTGGCAGGAGGCCACGCGGCGCAGGGCGCGGCTCACTGTCCTTCGGATACGCCTGCGCGTCACGAAGCTCAGGCCCTGGATCAAGTCGCGCAGGCCGGGGGGCAGGCAGGCCTTGTAACTATGGGAGATGGGAGTGGCAGCAGGCCCTCAGTGTGGGGAGGGGTCCCAGCAGGAACACACACAAACCCGGGCTTTAGCCAAGGGGGCCGGGGTGCAGCCTCCGTGCGGGCACGAGGCACACACGGACACACACTCAGGGTCACGACGGGGAGCAGGACCTTAGTGTGGGAGAGGGCCATTGGCGTCCACAGGATGGACAAGGACACCGCGAGACTTTTAGCTGCTGGAGGCAGGGCCTCCCGTCCAGCTGGAGCCTCAGTGGCGGGAGGGAGGGCTGGATATGTGGGAAGCCTGGGTCACATGGACTCACCGCAGGCTTATAGGGGAACCGCAAGGGGAGGCCTGGGCCCTGGCGAAGCCCCGGTGGGCCCACGTTCGCTCGGTCCCAGGCAGAGTCCAGTCCCCACAGCTTGGAGGCCCTCACCTGACAGTCTTCAGCAGCTCCGCGGGCCGCTGGGCCTGCTCACGGGCCATCCGGGCCAAGTCCAGAACCGCCAGGCTGAGACACTCACCCTGCTCCTTGAGGCTGAGGCCCACGGGGAGCCGCCCGCTCACCAGGTCGCTGCGGTGCTGGGGACCGGACACAGGGAAGGTCAGCCAAGGCCACCCCACCACGAGCCCTGACGTTGCCCTGCGGACCCCCAATCCTGGGCTACCACAGGGAGGGTCAGCTGAGGCTCCCCCTACCGCAAGCCCTGATGTTGCCCTGAAGACCCCCACCCCTAGGTCAGGCTCCACGTAGACCCCCACCTGGGCAAAGAGGTGCTCCAGGACTGACAAGTCAAGGATGGAGCTGGCCAGATCCTTGCGGAGCCCGAAGCGGTGGCATTTCTCCAGCCCCAACCAGTTGGGGAAGTAAAACCTGTGAGCAGAGGGGAAACCCTGGGATGAGGGGATATTCTGGCTTCAGCAGGGTGGGTGGGTTGGGGGGTGTTGGAGGGGATGGTAGATTCTGCCAAGGCTTCACAAAGCCCAGATTGTGCCCTCAACTTGCTGTGTGACCTTTGGCAAGTGACACACCCTCTCTGGCATCAGGTTCCTCATCTGTGAAATGGACAGTGGCCATGCCCTCCCAGGAAGGGGGAGTACCTCGAGTTGCAGGGAGATGATAGAATTGTACGATCTCTGGGGGCTGGGGGGCGCTTCCTACCGGAGCCTGTACACCAGGACTTGGGTGCCCACGTCCTCCACGGAGAAGATGTGGCTCGGGGGAAACCAGCAGGACAGGTCCTCCGCAGCCAGAGCAAAGAGGGAATGGTAGACGGGCAGGATGCCTATGGGGACAGCCTCATCAACTCCCTCCCAAGTCACCCCATGTCCCCAGCATTGCTGCCAGCATAACCCCCACATCACCTTACAGGGCTCTTTCTCACCTTCAGTTTTGACACTGCCCCACCCCTGCTCACACGCAATCTGGGGCTCCCCATTACCCTCAGGAGAGAAGCCACACACACAGCCTCCTTCCCAAGCTCCCCCCCACCCTCACACACACATGTCCCCTTCCACCCTTCACTTGACCTCATGGATGACCAAGTGTTCCCAATATGCCATCGCACCTCTGCATCTTTGCACAGCTCATTCCCTCTGCCTCAAATGCTCATCCTGTGCACCCTCCTTCCTTACCAAACTCCTACTCATCCCTCAAAGCCCCATCTCAGTGCTGACTCCTGCAGGCAATTATTCTAGCTCCCAATCTGCCCCCTGACCCATAGCCCTGTCCTTCCCTGTGGCCCAGTCCTCTAGAGACCCACTCACTGCTGGCCTTGGCAGCCCGCACACACAGTTCCTCTGCCGAGTGGTCCCCAAAAGAGAAAGATAGGCGCTGGGGGGGCCCAGGGCCCCGAGGAGGCAGCAGCACATGCAGGGCGCCAGCCTCCGAGGATGAAAGGCTGCAGGAGCGCTGAGAGATCAGGGGCGTCTCTTCACTTGGAGGAGCCATGAGTGCAACCTGCCCGGGGCACAGAGAGAGGCAGCCCCTCAGTCCCAGCCAGAGGGGACAAGTCTTATGAGCTCATGCACATGGGGGGTTGGAGGGATAGGGGTGGCTACCATTCCTTGTTGTAGAGGGTTAGAAATCTTGATTCCTATTTGATTATTAGATACGGTTTTTAGGTAATGCATGTATGGGACAAAAGTCTTTGGGTAGGAGGCAGGAGCCTACAGCTAGGGGGAAAGAGCCCACCTAATCAACCTGAATCACTGGACAGGTATGGGACTGTATACACTGATTGTTAATATAATGGGTTCATTGGAAGATTTTGTAAGAAGGAAACTTACATAGGACTAAAGCCTTTAATGTGGACAAGAGAACTGAAACAGAAAAAGAATTGTGAGGACAATAACCCTTAATACAGCAAAACTTAAATGATGGGAAAACATGTGAGTTAAGATTTCCAAGGTTGTTCTGCTAGATTAGTCAGTCCATGGGGGTAGTTCCACATTTTGCTTTAAGCTGTTTCTTTGAGTTTCTTAAGAAGTCAGGCACTTTAATGATTATCTTATTATTTCTTTTGCATGTCACATGGCTTAGATTTATGACTTTTTTTTTTTTTTTAGATGACCGGTAAGGGGATCTTAACCCTTGACTTGGCGTTGTCAGCACCACGCTCACCCGATGAGCCATCCAGCCATCCCTATATGGGATACGAACCCATGGCCTTGGTGTTATCAGCACCGCACTCTCCCGAGTGAGCCACGGGCCGGCCCCCGATTTATGACTTTTTTGAGGGTATATTGTTTAAACCATTTTGAGACGTGCATGCATGGATGAAGATTGTTACATAGCCAATTTCTTTATGTTCTTACTATGATTGATTAACCATCTGTTCTTTTCTGTAATCTCTTTGTCTTTACAATAAAAACTGAAGCAAAAACTGACTCTGGGCTGTACCCCGTTTCTCCTTCTAACAGAGGAGTTGCTGAGGTGCAGTCCCTTCAGGCTTCTCATTGCATTCATTTTGCTTTGAGTAATCTTTTTTCATCTCTGTTAAACAGCGAGAGGTGTAACACTTGTTACAGGTCTGGGGGTCTTGAGCCTATCTAAGGCTGGGGCTGGGAGCTTCTGTGCACCATCCTCCCTTACCAAACTCCTACTCATCCCTCAAAGCCCCAGCTCTGGATGGAGGGTGTGATGTGTGTCCTAGGGGCAGGTCCAGTCTGATGACCCAGCCAACAGGGGTCTCTGTGATTGTCTCTCCATCTCCATCTGTCTTTGTCCCCTCTGTCACCCCCCCATTTAGCCCTGCCCCCCACAGCATTTTCCTTAAGCCCCCCTCAGGTCCCCAGAGCAGAAAACCTCCCTGGAATGGGCCCAGGAGGAAACCATCCTTCTGCTTCCCAGACTCCCCACCCCCCTCCCAGCCTCCAGCTCCCTCACCCCAGGGAACTTCAAAGCTCAGGGTCCTCAGCTGGGTGGGATGAGGGGCCGCACTTTGAGCATAATGAGAAAAAGCAGGTAGATAGACAAGAACCACTCAGATTGACCTGAACGAAGAAGATCCAAAGAGAATGTTGGGGAGGGGGAGCTATGTTATAAAACAATATTCCTGGGGTGGAGTGAGAGACAGTATTAATGAGGTTTTTAACACACCTAGAATACGAGTCTCCTGCTAGAGGTGGGTGAAGACCCCAGGCTTCATTTCAAACTCAGCTCCACCATATGCCAGCCTCGTGGCCCTGGCAGGTCTAGAACCTCTGGTACTCAGCTTCCCAGCTGTGAAATGGGCTGACTCTTCACCAGGCTTAGTGAGGCAGTTTGCCAAGCCCAGCCCAGGGCTAAAGTGTCAATGCATTTAATCCGCATTAATTCATAGAATCTCATAGAATCCTTGGCGACGTGCCCAGTGAGCACTTAACAAATGCCTGCTGAACCAGACAGGAGGGCCCTTGGCACAGTGGTGTGGTGTTACTGTTGGAAGGGCAGGCATGGGGGGAGAGAACGTTCCCAAAAGGACATCCCGGTGTCACCAGTGTCCCGACCAAGAATCCCAGCCCCAGGAACCCTGGGGGACCCCCATCACTCCCCACAGAGACGACCCTGTCCTGATTGTAAGATTCTAAGAGCCTGTCCTGCTTGTTGCCTGCTTCTGCCTGTTACATAGATGGAATCACACAGCACATCCACTTTTGCCTTTTCCTCAATATGACGCTATCATATTTAAAATAAATCTTAACGGTCTGGCCGGTTCGCTCCATTAGTTAGAGAACGTCAACCGGAAAAAAAAAAAAAAAAAAAAACTGATGACAGCCTTGTGTTATACTGCCAAAGTCAAGAGTTCGGACATAGATGGAATCACACAGCACATCCACTTTTGCCTTTTCCTCAATATGACGCTATCATATTTAAAATAAATCTTAACGGTCTGGCCGGTTCGCTCCATTAGTTAGAGAACGTCAACCGGAAAAAAAAAAAAAAAAAAAAACTGATGACAGCCTTGTGTTATACTGCCAAAGTCAAGAGTTCGGATCCCCATACCGGCCCGCCGCCAAAACACACACACACACACACACACACACACACACACACACAATAAATCTTTTTAAAAAAGGGTTTTTAAATATTGAAAGTAAAAGAGGAAAAAGTCAGCAGTGGTGTCCGGGCCCGGAAAACGAACCTGTTTCTAATCCCCAAAGCCCGGCACCCAGGCCGGTCGGTCTGGCCCTGGGGGTTGGGTTGGGGGTGGGGGGAGCCTCTGGGGGCGGAGAGCCCCTAGGGCCGCGAGCCCACTGCGCATGCGCCACGAGTCATGGCTCTGCAGGGCCGGGAATCGGGATCCTGCTTTTCTGTAGGGCACAGCCAAGGCCCAGAAAGGGAGGCACTCTCCGGAAGTCACAAAGCGGTCTAGGCTCACGTCTGTCTCGTAGCTTTCCTAGGATACCTGGAAGGCAAACTCGCCTTTGCACATACAGTACCCTCCACCAGCCCTGACAGCGTCCACCCCCAATGCCCGTCCAGAGCCACTGTGACAGTGTCACCTCTTACCTGTCGGGTGGGGACCTTGGGTCGACGACGGGAGGGCAGAGCCAGGAGACAGCAAGAGGAAAGTCCCACTCATCTCCTTCCTGTGTGGGCCCCTTGGCTTCCTGATCCGCTGTCACTTACCGAAAGTCAGGGCTGTCTGGGGGACGGGGGCGGGGAGGCGAAAAGGCCCTACCAGGGAGAGGCAGAAAGTTCCAGAAGCCTGTGCAGCAGTGACCCTGCTCCGACAGACTGCTGGAGACCCCAGACCCAAGAAAGAGGTGACATCACAGAGAAGGTGATCACACGGGGGTCTCTGCAGGCTCCAGACCCATTTGCAGGGCCCTGGTCTGGGCCCCAGTGCCTCAGTTTACCCATCCGTGGCATGTTCAGAACTAATTTTGGGCACCCAGTGGGACTAATTTTGCATCTAGGGAAGGATAACCAGGCTGAATTGGCCCCAGAAGGAGACAGGGAAGTTGCCTGAAACAGATGCCAGGTTCCCCTTTGAGCTATTTCCCCTATGATCCCGGAAAGAAAATGACCCACTTCTAATTCCATGCCCTGGGCCCAGCCCTAGAAAACCAGGCAGATCTGGCTTGCTCTCCTGGAGCTCATGGATAAGCCAAATCATCATTGATAACAAAGAAAACCAGGGTGACAGACAGGAACAGACTGGGGCTCACCCCTGCAGCAGAACAAGGAACTGGCCAGGAAAGCTGTGCTCCAGGCAGAGGGCACAGCAGGGGCAAAGACCCTGGGGGGGGGGGGGGGGGTTGA